TATGTAAACTACTCTAAAAAATATTCAAGTGTTTTAAAAAACTTAACAGATATGTCTTCTTCTTATCATCATCTAACTAAGATCGAAGTGTCTTTTAAAACTAATAAATGGTTTATTGCTTTTATTATTTTATAGATTTTATTGGTGTATGATTTTTATTTTATTTTAAGATACATATACATTTTAATTTAATTTATTAGTTACAAACATTTGTCCGATTTATAGTAATATGGATTGTTTTTATTTCTCTAATAATTTATTATTATATTTAGTTTATATGTAGGTAACTCATTTAGTCAATGTGTTTCATATTCTTGGATTTGGATATGTAAATTCAATTCATATAACAAATGGGTCCGGGTCAAACTCCCATTAAAATCTCAAACCTATGTGGATATGGGTCGGCTCTACTCTGGTCGAGTTACAACATAGTCAACTACTTATAATTCCACTAATAACTATATTCAGTATAAAATACAATACTTCATACTACTCCATTTCTACCTCAAGCTAAAAACAAAAATCATCATATTATTTTCAACTAATCAATTTCACCTACAAGCTAAAACATATGTATCTAATGTTAAAACATATTATATACAACATAATACAGAAACCAAATATAGTTTACAACATATATAAATGTTCCCGCACATAGTGCCGGTGAGAATCTAATTATTGGTTAAAAGGAAAACATAATAACAAAGAAACAAAATAAATAAATCAGGAAAAAAAGTTGAGCAAATTATGGTGTATTTGTATATGAATTTGTTTATTATAGAAATCCAAGTGAGATAATATTTTTTTCATTAAAAAAACAAAGTGAATCAATAAAGAGAGTAGTTTTCCCAATATATGTGTTTTCTTTGAAAACCTTTTTATGTATTAGATTTTTTTTTATATAAAATTAAACACAATAAAGTAAAAGTTTTTTAATAAAACAGGAAAATACATTGAAATGTATTTAAAAGTAAACAAAAATCACAACATTAAAGTGTATAACTAATACATTTTAAAACCAATGCCAATTAATTAAAAAATCTAATGTGGACCCATATTGAAAATTTTAAAAAAAAGATTATATGATTATTAACAAAACATTCTAAAGAAAATTAAAACCACCAAAATCAAAACATTAATTAAATCTGAAAAAATAAAACATAGAGCATCCTTAACTATTATAAATACCTATATTCTTTGGGTCTGAATGCATGTAGTTCTACCTTGAGAAAAATATTAGAAAACTTTTCAAAATATTGATCCTTAATTCATGGATTTATTTCTCAAACTCGTCCTACTCTTATCCACGATCTTTGTAGTTCATTCAAGAGAGTTGAAATTCGTTACGGTAAATTTAAAGAAAAATAATATATACACATCCAAGTCTTAAAATAATGTTTTGTAGATTACTTCATGTATTGATCTCGAATATATTTTCCATAGAATGAGAACATCATATACGATTGCGTGGATATAAATAAACAACCTTCGTTAAGTCATCCACTACTCAAAAACCACAAAATTCAGGTATTCATTTGTTAAATTATATATTATATATGTTTTTATTTTGCTAACCTTATTCATTTTTATATTTGTTTGGTAGTTAGACTTAGGGTTAGCGACATACTGAATGCCATACTTAGACTTTGGATTTGAATACGAAAAAACGTCCGATAAAGATGTCACACACGTGAGTATCCGTATTGAGCAGTAAAATTTCAAAAATAATATAAAATTTTAACTTAAATATTTGTTGAAAATTTTCATTAAATTTTGACATTGATCTTTATACTTTTAAAATTAGGAACCTTTTAAAATGTAACATGTTTTTTTACCAAATTACATTTTTGGAAAATTATATTAGTTATACATATATTTTAGGAAAACAATATATAAAGTATCTAATCTGACCGAGATAAACAAATTAAACAAAAAAAAATACTCAGAATCTCATCATAGATTGGATCTTGGTACCTAGGGGTGAAATTATTATCCGGGATCCGAGATCCGATCCGGTATCCGTTCGGATCTGCTCCGAAAATTAGGATATTCGGGGAGTCCGGATCCGGATAAGGATAGTAAAATTTAGGATCCGTGAAAAGAAGATCTGGATCCGGATAGTAAAATTTTAAGGTCCGGATATCCGGATCCGGATCCGCACGCATTAAATATATCAAAAACATATATCTTTTACATATATTAAGCTATTTTTATCTTAAATATATATAAAAGTTAACTTTAGTCCTTTTTATAATAGATATAATATTTATTTCTAAAAATATCATGCAAATTTTAATTAATAAATTTTAAAAACTATTTTTAAACACGGATCCCACTGATCTGGATCCGGATCCGGATATCCTGAAAAAGTTCGGATATCCGGATCCGTTCCAGCCCTATTAGTACCTGATCATTTTGGGCACCCGATCATTGTTTTGTTTAATTTTCTTAAAACTTTATGCAAATTACTCTTTTCTACTTTTTTGCATATATTAAATGATTGATTTAATTGACTAAAAACAAGGATAATATCTAACAGGGTTTAGTTATCATCTCATATATTAATTGTGTAATTATATAATTTTGAATAGATGGAACCATCATTCTCGTTTTCCAAGTCAAAATATCAAGTGAAACGAGAAAGAGAAAATAATGAATGTCCAGATGGAACAGTACCTATTTTAAAGAATACAACAAATTATGCTGCAAATGCTCAATATTTATCAGAAAACAACTTCAATCCACTTACGACAGAAAGTCATGGTACACATGTAAGCAAATTTACTTGAATAATTTGTATTATGAATATGTACAGAAAATTATGAATAMTATTATAAGCTTATTTTAAATTGATTGGAAATTGAAGATTGCTGGAGTTAGATCTGAAGGTCAAGGTCCTTACCGTGGGTTATCAGCTTATATGACTGTACATGATTTGAATATTAGTAGAGACCAAACTTCATATGCTCGCATATATATAGGCAGTGGACTCAACAACAAAGTTAATTTTATCCAAACCGGTTGGATGGTAAATTTAGTGTTAACG